AGCACTTTGGTATCATAAAAGAAAAAAACAATTGTTTAAATAAGATTCTGTAATGTTAATGAAATAAAATTATTAAAAGAAAAAAAATTCTACTATCTAGCTTAACAGCTTCAGGAGACAACCAGAATGTAACAAAAACACATGTCATTGACACATCAAATACAGGAGAACACTTAGCCTAGCTCATGGCGTGTGGAACTATCAAATCAATTACAGCTAGCATGCACTGCAAAATGCCAGCAAATTCTGCTTATGTTCAAGCATACCGTTTTAATTCGGTTCAGGGTTCAGCCAGTACAGAAATACAGTTGAAAGCAAAACTAATGATCTTACAACAAATTTTAAAATAAAGTGTTACAATGCATTAGAATTCATAGACCAGTGGATTCGGAAATCAAAGCAAATTATATTTTAGCTTCAAACCACAATTCCCTAATCTGAATTTAGGGATTGCTAAAGATTTAATACAGGATGTTGTTAAGAGCAAAGGCCAAAGGTGGAAAAAAGGAAGGATCAAAATTATTGTCATGTAACAAGCATGGGAAGAGATAGAAAGGGGGACAAAGGGGCGGGTGTGAATGAACATGCTGCTGGTCAGCATGCCTGTCTAGCTGAAGGTGCAGCTGCTGACCTCCTCCAGGTCCCTCAGTCCACTAGGCTCAGCTAACATTAGCAATAAGAATCTGTTTTTTTTGGTAAGGTATTAAAAAGCGACATACTTCTGAATTACTGTTTTAATGTTAATTATTTGGCATCTTGAAAACCATGTGGTTAATATATCTGCACATTTCTGGTAATTGATCAGATATAAGAAACTGCACAGCAAGATCTTTTAGCTAAACTCTAGTTTAGCTCTAGCACACAGCCCTAAATTACATTTTCTAAAATTTGTTCAAGGTGGTACTAGAATTCATCCCTATATATATATATATGTATGTGTATATATATATATATATATATATGTATGCAAAATTCATCCTTAAGCTATTATGGTTGTTATAAAGCAGGATTGCCAATAACATTATACCCTCACACTGTACAATCTGGTTTGTAAAGGAAAAGTCGAAGCATGGCCCAACTCTGCGCTGGTTTTAGAAACTGAAAAGCAAATTAATTTTGTTCACTCTGTTAGATAATTGTTGTTTATTCTTACAAAATTTTCCTGTCTCCACCCAATTTTTTAGGTTCCTCCAATAGTACCAACAAATCCAAGGAGGCTGACTTGCAATCTTCCAAGCCGAGTTAGAAAAATCCAGCATAAATTTTTCAAGGAAATACTCTTTCTTTACAAGTCATACAGACTGAACAGATTTAGATAAACATTTAAGTCAAGCTCAGAACTTTTGGATGGTCCTATTCACCGTGATGAGTTTACATTTTGATATCTTTTGACAGCCTGAATAGCTTCCATGACCAATAATAATGTTGCTTACTGTCATCTAAGCTCATAAAGTACATTCAGTACAAAACACATCTTGTATCCTGATAAAGAGGCATTCTTCTTTGAATCAAACTTTAACGTGGCCTCATCATTGTCACTCACCCTTCACTGTGATTCAAGTTCATCTGTCTAGCAATGCATGAAACTGCTCAAGTTTGTTGCCTGCATGAGCTCATTACAAGTTCAGGAAATCCAACAAAATCCTCTTCTCTTTGCACATGCCCACTGCAGGCAGTTCCAAATTCATGGATAATATTACATAATTGCTGGCTTGGTTATTGTCTTAGTTGCAAAAGAAAGGAAAAACAAATATTTAAAGAATCACCGCAGTGAGGTGTTAAATATTTTAATGTATAAAATGTAGGCAGATGTCACACTTTCTACAAAGCCATATACCTCTCCTGGAAATCCTAGGAAAGATCACATCCTTATCAATATCTTTTAAAATGTATACACATATAAACACATAATTTCATAAATTAATAAATCTGCTGAGTTCAGTGTTAACAGGGTTATAAAAGGTGCGTGACCCACCAGAAAACTTGACAATAAATTTCATCTTAATCAGCAATGACAGGGTTGGAAATATGGGAGACATGGACTTTAGATATATATTATTGTGTATATTATGTCATCTGTTAAAAAAATAGTCATTGCTTCATTCCCCGTACTCCAGTTCCAACTGAGGACAATGATCCCAAACAGAATATCGATTAGGCTGCTCCATTAACAAAACCAGGCATGAAGAGCTAAATTAAAGAAACGTCTGCAAGGCAAGGACAAATTGTATTAGTTTTGATCTAAACAGGCCACAATGTCTTTTCACATTTGGGAAAAGCTTCCTCCACATCCTGTTCAGTAAAAGCCACAACCAACCACTGTTCTGGGCAACCTGTAACGTTCATCTGCTTCTGTAAAAGTCGGATAAGCCAAAGCATGAGAGGACCAAGGAGGAGTTCTCAGGGTGAATGTGAATATTTTTATATAAAGCAAGTTGTTCTGATTATGGGCAAATATGTGGAACACACTGAAGACCTGCAAAGTGTACAGTGGCACTTGAATCATCAGAATGTCTAGAACGTGGACTAGACAATTTTCAGTGTGAAATTTTTATAACATGTTTTTATATGAAGATAGCATACTAGGCTAATTGCATCACATGTGAGATATACTAGGAGTACAAAGATAATGCAAAATTTTTCAGCAATAGGGTCTAGGGGTCTTGTATCTTTGGAAAGTATCTTCAGAGTATTTTTATTGTCCCTCTATCATACCTTATTTTTTCTAACATCCACAGAAAGTGTGTGCTGAGCTGCATTCTTTGTCTGCTAGAATTAAACCTAACCACTGTTCCCTAAAACTAAGAACCATCCTGCAGTTCCTCCAGTTTGTACCAGCAGCTGGTCCCTGAAACTGTGAGGGGTGCTAGCATCTTTACTTCTGCCACACAGATCACCCCAAAATAGAGCCAAAAGCACAACTGATGTTTCTTGCTTTAGCTTTTGTTCTGTATACACTTTGAAAGTACATTCTAAGCTACAGTTTAAGGTGGTGTTTAATCTTAATGAAATAGGAAAGATAATGTACTCTTTTTCCAAACTCTGATAAACAAAAGTCCACAAAACATATAATCTAATCTAACATATAAACTAATCTAATCTCTTAACTAAAAGCAATAGCTCCAACAAATGTGCTGTAAATTGCCTTAAATAAATGACTGCAACTTAAAGTACATTGCTGTTAGCTTCTCTTATTCCTATCCTTTCTAAGATGACATTTTCAAACTGCTAATCTTTATATTATGTTGCACATTGCATTTTTAGTTACTGCACACTCAGAAGTCACAGTCACAGATTCATTGTTATTAGAAAACCAATCAACAACTTCTATTAGCATGAAGTTATTCTCCTTTAAAATATTTTTCAAAGGAAAAGGGGAGTATTCCCCAACACTTCTGCTTTTCTCTCTCCAGATACACCAGAGAAAATGCATTCATTTCATTCCAGGCTGTATGTATCATGGGATTTCTCATCTCTGTTCACTGGAACAAGATTTTGATTGCTTAATGGTAAGCTTTAATGAATATGCATGCAGCTAGCACTCTGATGTACTGAAGAATGAAAGGTTTCTACATTTTCCAGCCATTAGCTATTAAAGTTACAAAATATCAAAATCCCGTATGTTCCAGGTGATGTTCAGCTTTCTGTTTTCATATAGTTTCACAAAACATTAGGTATTAAAGAGAAAGTGCAAATGATCTACACATGACACTACATTCAGTGCTTTTCCCTCTTTCCAAGGATCTCAGAATACCTGAAAAATATTAATTCTCACTACTCCTGCAATACATGTATGCAGGTATTACTTATGCCCAGTTCAAGTATTCCACAGAAAATTCTGTACACCATTCTTAGTGAACTGGTTCAAAAGTTACACATAGGATAAATCAGATAAATCAGATACATCTTAAGTGATGGTTATGAACTCTAACACTGGATTGGGGATAGAATTATGGAGACATCCCAGGAGTACCAACTCTCAAAAAGGAAAAAGTCAACCTTTGCCACAGTGATCTAATGAAAGTCTCTAATATCTTAATTATTCCACGTCTAACATCTTATTTTTCCTTTTTTATTCTGCAGTTTTCAGCCTGGAGCAGCCTGGCAGCAGAATTGCCTTAACTGACCACATCAAAAAGATGGCAATTGTCACCTCTGTGCTTATACATCCTTCCTTCCCCCTTGTTTTACACCAAGATCACTGGAATTACAATGATGAGGATAACCCAAATTCATTTCAGGCTAGAAAACATTTCTTCAAAGCAACAGGAAAAGCCTCAGAGGTTGAACAGACTTCTTAAAAGGTAAGTGATAAGCGAATGTTTTAATAATTTATCAGACAATTCTAAATAATCTGGTTCTCCTACTTTGCTATCCTGCCCATACAGACACAAGTCTAAGGAACGAGACTCCCTTCCTTCTCCATATTCCAGGCAACAGAATACAACATTCTTGATGTGGCTTAATCTCTTCCATAAAACAGCTCATGGAATTCCAGCTGTAACTTCTGATATAGAAGCTATAGGTTATTCTATAACATGTAGAACTGGAACAGGTCCCTGCCAGAAAAGGCATCATTTCAATGAACATTTCTAGCGAAAGGCATCTACCACACAGTTCTCAAAACTGTTTCACTGCTTCTTGTACTATTTCTTTAAAACATACACATCTTCCTTGTATTCTACTTTATAACTGCAACTTTAGCCAAATCGTCCCATCTGATCTATGATGTGGTCAATGTAGTATAATCTCAGTACAACAAAAATGCTCAAAACAAATACCAGTAGCAAACTTTTCCAAATGAACTATTTGTTCTCCTTGAAGGATCTTCTAAGTACACTTTCATCTGAAATTCTTCAAGACAACCTTCAACAAACACAAAGAAACCCTGAGCAACAACCTAATAAAAACAAAAATCAAGAAACCCAAAGGCTCATATTCTCCTCATTCTCTTCTTACAATTCACGACAACAGTAGTATACAAAGCAAATACGTCTTACCAAGTTCTGTTACGTAGGTTTTTCCTTCCGAAGGTAAAGGAATGTACTGATTAGAAAAGAAGTTGCTTCCATAACCCAGGACAAAACCTTCTAGTCTGGTATTTTGACTTGGTCGAAGATACCTCATGCAAACGGTGTCATCTGTTGCATTGATCTGAACTTTCAGACTCTGCCTTTTCACTGAGGAAAGAGTAAAAAAAACCAGAATGTATTCTCTTGTAATCATATATTCAGTAATGCAATATGACAATATAACAATATAGAGCTGTTTGCAAGCAACCGGACAATTGCTTAAAGGTGGAGTCTCCTGGAAACTATTTTTAAAAGTAAACTAATAGTCATGTTAAATTGTGGTTTCCAACATATCTGTTTTTCCATTAGTTTAGTATTATCATTAGCTATAACATTTTCTACAATTGCAGTAGCAGAAAAGTGCATGAAGTAATTGGAAAAATGCAAGAATTGTTCCTTTAAATGCAAGAGTTACAGTAGTATTAGCTATCTATAGGACTCAGGTAAAAATCTTGCAACTTTGATTTTTGCTTTTTTTTGCTTGTTAGTAAAAATATGAAATTTTAATGATAAGTTAATCACACTGAAAAATTAGAGTAGAGAATAAATGGTAACTAAATCCAAATAAAAATGATACTTTTTATTTTCTATTTTGGGCTGGAAAAAAAAAACTTCACATCTAACTAGCACATACATTTTACTCAAAATTACCAGGAAACTTTTTTTAAAACATTAATTGTTATGTGTTCCAGGGGAGCAGCATATAAAGCAAGAAACATGTTGTATATCCATCTACAAAAGTTTAACTTATAACAATAGAGAATTACTTCATAACAGAATAATCAATTTTTAGGCAACAAGAAGGTGTTTTGTCTTATCTTGGTGGGGTGAGGGAGGATTGGCTTTTCCTTCCTTGGTATTTTAATTTTCCCTGTTAGGCCTATCATATTTTCAGAACTGCTGAATGCCAATGCTTTAAAAACAAACAAAAAAAGAGGACTTTTCCCCAAACTTATGCTACTAGCACTGGAACAGTACATTTTGGGTTATTATTTGTATTCTCATTCTCAAAATATGAATTTTAATTCACAAGAGATTTTCATCATCTCTCCAATCATGAGGGCTGAAATTAATTTTTCAGAAAAAAAAAAAAAAAGATAAATTTGCACAAAATCATTTTACTGCAGGAGCTAAATCCTGGGAAAAATAATGAGAGATGTATGACCTGTCATTAAATAACAGGGTAGAGTGATACTGAACTTCCTTTCTCCCTCACTCTGCCTCCCTTCCTATCTTCCTTTCTCTCTCTCTTTCTCAATCCGTGTATGTGAAGACATCTCTGTGTAACTGAAGATATTAAAATTTTTTTTTTTTTTTTTTTTTTTTTTTTTTGAGAAGTTCTAATGACTGGAGATACCAAGAGGCCACAATCCCCAATCTGTGAAGATGATTTAGTAGTAGTCAAACACCTGCAGTTGTCTGCACAGTGAACGCAAAGGCCTAAATCAATGATGGAAAACTGATGGAAAACATGTGCCTCTGGTGAGACCCTTCCTTTATCTAAAGACTGATCTAATAAAAGCACTCAGCCAGGAAACCATCAGTTTTCCAAAGGCAACTCTGCCAGTTTCCAGACGACTGCAAGGCTTCTAGAAAACTCAACTCTGACACTTTCAGCAGTACAATACCATCGCAGGGGAAGGGGTGGTGGTTGCTTCCTTATCTTGGAAACACCCTAACTTCTTTTATTTTCAGTATATGAAACTGCTGTGGGTGTGCAACTTTGAATATTGACAAGGCTCCAAATAGCAGAAACCAATTATTACCTCTGATTGACAGTGAACTAGATGTGCTAAAATTATGTAATCTGCAAAACTCTAACCTAACTTTGGAGAGCTGAGAATAAATGAAAGGATGGTCTCCTAGTCTCCACTGAATATTCAAATCTAGGAAGTAATCAAGACTTACAGAACTTGATTCAAATATGATAATTTGATTTCTGTATTAAAATTCTTCATCAAACTCAAACTGGATTTTAAATTTATAATAATTTCACCTTTTTTTATTCACAATTGTTTCTATGTATCTCTTAGTTATACTTTACATTAATTTGAAGACTTTAATTCAAGAGTGAATTCAAGTGGTTTGATCCCAATTAGATAAGATACTGTTTTATTCATAAGTAATCAATTACAGTGACAAGAGGTCTTGATTTTATTTAAGCCTAAAAACTCACAGTGAAGTATCTATAAACAGAAATTCTAAATGGGATCCCAAAACAGCAACAGCTTTGAGGCAGGACCCTTTAGACCTTTTCTTTATAGCTAGCATATCAAAACCATTAAGAAAGCTTTTAAACTCAAAGGTTAAAAAACCCAGTTCTAGCAGAATATAAACAGGAATATGTATTTTTAAAAATAGAGAATAAGATAGAACAGAAGAAAAGAAAATGAGATTATCTTAAAATTAAAAAATAATAAATCCTTGTCCTCCCCACCCTGTCTTGATAGGGTAGGTCCTTTTCCTCTACTTCACTTTTAATTACAGGATCCTTTCAGTGATGGCCTGGATGGCAACAAACACTGGAGAGTCCCTGCAGTGTTTAGGAAAAAAAATCATATAATCATAAAATAATTTAGATCGGAAAAGACCTCTAAGATTACTGACTCCAACCATAAACCTAACACTGCCAAGTCCACCAATAAACCATGTCTCTAACTGCCACATCTACATGTCTGATGTGACTCAACCACTTCCCTGGGCAGCCTGTTTCAGTGCTTGACAACAGTTCCAGTGAAGAAATTTTTCCTAATATTCAGTGTAAACCTCCCCTGGCACAACTTGAGGCTATTTAATCTCATTCTATTGCTTCTTACTTGGGAGAAGAGACCAACACTCACCTCTCTAGAACCTCCTTTCAGGTAGCTGTAGAGGGCGATGAGGTCTCCCCTCAGCCTCCTCCAGACTAAACACCCCCAGTTCCCTCAGCCGCTCCCCGTACGACCTGTGCTCCAGGCCCTGCACCAGCTCCGTTGCCCTTCTCTGGACACGCTTGAGTCATTCAATGTCTTTTTTGTAGTGAGGGGCCCAAAACTGAACCATAAATTGAGGTGCGGCCTCACCAGTGCCGAGTACAGGGGTCAGATCCCTTCCCTTTCCCTGCTGGCCACGCTATTGCTGACACAAGCCAGGATGCCATTGGCCTTCTTGGCCCCCTGGGCACACTGTTGGCTCATACTCAGCTGGCTGTCAACCAACACTCTGAGGTCCTTTTCTACCAGGCTGCTTCAGACTGTCGTGACCCAGGTTCAGGACCCAGCATTTGACCTTGTTGAATCTCATACAACTGGCCTCAGCCCATCACTCCAGTCTGTCCAGATCCCTCTGTAGAGCCTTGCTGCCCTCAAGCAGATCAACACTTCCACCCAACTTGGTGTCGCTGGCAGACTTACTGAGGGTGTGCTCAATCCACTCCATCCAGACCACTGATAAAGGTATTAAACAGAACTGGCCCCAATACTGAGCCCTGGGGAACACCACTTGCGATCAGCTGCCAACTGGATTTAACTACATTCACCACAACTCTTCAGGCCCGGCCATCCAGCCAGTTTGTTACCCAGTGAAGAGTACGCCTATCCAAGCCATGAGCAGGCAGTTTCTCCAGAGGAATGCTGTGGGAAATGGTGTCAAAGGTTTTACTAAAGTCCAGGTAAACAAAATGCACAGTCTTTCCCTCATCTAGTAAGCAGGTCGCCTTGTCATAGAAGGAGATCAGGTTTGTCAGGCAGGACCTGCCTTTTGTAAACCCATGATGACAGGGCTTGATTGCCTGGTTGTCCTGTATGTGTTGTGTGATAGCACTCAAAATCATCTGCTCCATAACCTTCCACAGCACTGAGGTTATACTGACAGGCTTGTAGTTCCCTGGATCTTCCTTCTGGCCCTTCTTGAACATGAGCATCACATTTGCTAACCTCCAGTCAACTGAGACCTCCCTGGTTAGCCAGGACTGCTGATAAGTGGCTGATTGAGAGTGGCTTGGTAAGCACTTCCACCAGCCCCCTCAGCACCTTCGGGTGGATCCCTTCTGGCCCCATAGACTTGTGTGTGTTCAAGTGGTGTAGCAGATCACTTACCTCTTCCCCTTGGACTATGGGGGCTTCATTCTGCTCCCCATTCCTGACTTCCAGCTCAGGGAGTTGGGTACTCCGAGAACAACTGGTCTTACTGTTAAGGAGGGAGGCAAAGAATGCAACCCCTGCTCTCCAATAAAGGATTGATATAATCTTTCTTTTCCTCTCCTCATAGATCTACTTAGAGGTTCTGTTCCACGCTCTTAACATAACTATCTTCTACCCCTTCTGTAAGCTCCTTGCTTACTATTTACTTCTCTCCACACAGCCGAAGTTTCCCTAGCTGAGAGGGGGGCCCAGTCAATCACAGCAAGAGCGCTCTTCTGCCCTTCCTCTTGAAGGTGTGGCCTGACCCAAAGAGCAACACAGTGCAAGGCAGACAAATAGCCTTTTCCACTATTATTTAGCTGCACCTTTCTGAATGAAAATAACTGTGCTAAAAGCAACACCACGGATGCCACACTTCATATGACTAAAGCACATCCCTTTTCATGGTCTGTGTGTTTTCCAGTATCACTGAAATTGAGGGATGAATTTTAACTTGTAAAACAATAATTATCAGAGGCTCTCCAGTTACCAGAAAGTGTACTGACAGAAGTGGAGCAACCAAGCAAACACTGACAATTTTTTCTATCTGATGTCAAAACAGACCTGAAAATAAATTGAAAATTTCACAAGAAATCTGTTGAAGTTGGTATGCTACAGAAAAAACAATTTACACATGAGGTTTTTCTCTTTTGTTCCTCTTTCTCCCTACTGTTGTGATTTAGCATAGTTACTTTACAGATCAAAAAATAAAGAAGAAAACGCAATAGATCCCTTTGTTAGTTTGTTATTCCTTCTATTACAAAATCCTATTGATTTCTAGCTTATTTCAACACGTAATTACTTTTTATCTGAAGATCACTCAGCTCACCTTAAACAAGTGGCAGTATTCGTGTTCTCTGAAGTGAGGTGTGCTCAACAGTAGCATGACCTGCTCTCATGTTAACCAAGGTGGGAGAGACCACTACACTGAATCATGTACTCTCTTCT